CGGGAAAGCAAACTAGGCACGAACACGCATAGATGCGTACACACGCGTAAATCCAAATAGGCTGATAGGCATTCATACCAAAGCTAACACACACATACACACACACGTATATATGTATGTGTGCGTGTGTATAAATTGAGTAATCGAATGATAGATTGTGAAAAACTACAATGCTACGTAATACGTTTCACAACTAAAAAAAAATTCTGCAAACATGGTTTTATCAATGGATCTCTCTCTCTCTCTCTCTCTCTCTCTCGATAGATAGATAGATAGATAGATAGATAGATAGATAGATAGATAGATATGAACTGATTTGGGACAAAGAGACCTATTAAAAAGATAGATAGAAAGATAGATAGATAGATAGATAGATAGATAGATAGATAGATAGATATGAACTGACTGGGACAAAGAAACAGATTAAAACAGATAGATAGATAGATAGATAGATAGATAGATAGATAGATAGATAGATAGATATGAACTGACTGGGACAAAGAAACAGATTAAAACAGATAGATAGATAGATAGATAGATAGATAGATAGATAGATAGATAGATAGATAGATAGATAGATAGATAGATAAATTAAACAGATAGGGACAAAGAAATAGATTAAAACAGATAGATAGATAGATAGATAGATAGATAGATAGATAGATAGATAGATAGATAAAACAGTAGACACTGAGGTCAACACCAAGTCTGCTGTTTTGTGCTTGAACGTAATGTTAAAGCATGAAACAAGACTCTTGTCGATCGGTGTTGACCTCAGTGTCCACTTTTATAATTACAAACGGAAAGGAAGCTACAAAACCTCCTACAGAAGTTAGCGAAGGAAAGCGAGAAGACAGGGATAGGCATACACAGCAAGAAGACAGAATGTATGGTCATCAACGAAAAGATGAGCCCAAAATATGAATTACAGGTCGGGGACGCTAAAATCACGCAGGTGCGGAAATAAATAAATCTCTGGGGAGTGTTCCGACAGAAGACGGCAAGTGAGACGCTGAGACCCGAAGACTTATTGAGATGGCCAAAGACACATGCCAAAATCTCGACAGAGTATTACGAAACAGGAGGGTTTAGTTGATCACAAAGAAAAGAGTGTAGAACTCCTCCTTTACGGCAGCGAATATTGGACGGTCTTCTCAAATATAAAGAAGAGACTCGAGGCAGCAGATGTGTGGTTCTACAGAAGGATGCTGAGGATACCATGGACATAACATGTGAGTAACCACAAGGTTTTTGATGTTGACCATGCTCACCATAGTCTATGAATATAGAATACAGCGCAGTACGTAATCTGTTCAATGAAACAACGTTAAAGATTAACACTTACGAGTCAGACACTCTACTGAATCTGGCTATATCGTCAATACCACCAGCAGCTGTTCAGTAATTCTTCAGTCTTCGATATCAAAGGCTGGCAGGGAATATTCGGGAAAAACATGGCCGCCTTTATATACGTCGCATTGAATATTTTGAGCCTTCTGATTGGTTAACCCTTCTATTGGTGAACTATAAAATGAGTCAGCTCATTTTGGCTGGCTCACTAGTACACCAGGGTACCAAAAAATTCCAACATTGGAGAGGATGCAAACAAAATGGAAACTCATACTTAACATCAGGAAGAGACAGCTGAAATTATCTGGAACACGTAATGAGAAAGGAGGGCTTGGAAAATCTGATACTCACAGGGCAGAGTGAGGGAAAAGAGAGACAAGGAAAGCAACTCGTGATATACTTAACGGGCTTAACCAAATGGATGGCAGAGCAGTGTCTGCGAGAAATAATAAAACATCAAAGCTTATTGAGGGCTACAAGAGACAGGAGGAAGTGGAGAGCCATGATCGCCTACGTCCTCAAGGGACACAGCTCATAAAAGAAGAAGCGCTAAACCTGATATTTACCCATAAATATAGCATACCGTAAAAATATATCCATATCTATCTATCCATTTCTCTTTCTCTCTCTCTCTCTCTCTCTCTCTCTCTCTCTCTCTCTCTCTCTCTATATATATATATATATAGTACAGGTAATTAATCCGTTGGTATATAATCCGGGTGGATCCTAGTTATATTAGGGGCTGATGACATCCGCATACAGAACAGCTTGAAATAGACTATTCTCTATGTTGAAGTAATTTTTGTTTTTTTTTTTTTTTGGGGTCTGTAATATATATATATATATATATATATATATATATATATATATATATATATATATATATATACAAATGCTTAGAGGTACAAAATTTATATATAGTTTTAAAAACAAGGAATGTATTGATTTTAATTTTAAAAGTCTCTAAGGCCCTTTCAACCAACATCTCATCAGGAGACAATCATTGGATAATTAATCAACGAAAAGAATATATATATATATACGGATGACTGACGACCGTACACCCAAGGCTTCCAGATGGTACATGTAATATAAGCAGAGCCCAAATGTCAACGTACTTCTTACTTCTTTTGAAGCCATAGCTGCTGACCGTGGAAAATGAAGAACATTTTGCTGTGAACTTCGAAAAATATTGATTGTTCTATCTTCGAGGTCTAAGATCTAACACCAATATTCGATCAAAACTTCAGACCAGCTCCACACAAAATCTTATCATCTGCACTAAATGTGGCTTGATCTGTAAACCAGCATCTGGGATGAAGTGTTATTTAAGACATAAGCATAAAAAATCAACTGAAAAGACTCTTGAGCCATCACAGTCAAGTCGACAGAAGAGTCTATCCATTCCTTGATGATAAAGGCAGATGGAAAGGCACCTAAAGAAGGCCGAATTGCACAACATACAAACAGTTGTGATAATAAAAACGAAGATGTTATATTAACCTGTATGTAAATAACATCTGTTTCATGTGTTTTGGAAGGTTTTCATAGATCTAGACACAATTGTATTCGTTCTTATCTTCATATTCTTAAATGTCCCGTCTCCTCTGGATGTAGATGACAGTGTTTCTGTGGCAGAGAGCAGTGGTCACCTTTGAAATATCAATAATTATAATGATATACAATTTTGTTTATAGAAGAGAAAAATAATCTGTGGTGAAGTTTGTGCCCAGAAAATCTGTGCTTCGTCAGAAGTATTAATATAAAATGTCAAAACAATAGTGTTTATATGAAATATGGAATAGCAATTGACAAGAAGAGACTCTTCATTTAATCATGAAGGGGGAGAGGTCATTAATCAGGTTGTATTCTAAGTTTACCAACACCCCTAGTTTGTCGCTACCACTGCGTTTTTAAGCGCGTGTTTGTGTGAAAACAGTCGAGTCGAAGTCGAACTGGAATTGGAGCTGGGTGATGCGAGTTGACAAGCGAGAGAGAGAGAGATGGGCAGTGAGAGTGAAAGCGTCCGCTTGCTGCTGTCATAAGGGAACTCAAGCTATCTGCGATGTTGGCGCAATACTACCAGTAAACCCCCCTTATATCCTGATAGTGAAATAATTACGGCAACTACTAAGAACAAAAAGGGTGAACCCGAAAACTAATTCTCTCCTTTCAGAATTATTTGCAATATTTGTTTTTTTTTCTGGACCTTATTTCATATATACTACTTTCTTGTAAAAGAAGCATTATTCTTTTTGTACCAATTTCTTCCTTATATACATCTACATAAATTTTTCTTTGGGCTCGAATCAACTTGTTCATATTTGATTTTTCTGCTTGGCCCGATTCTCACCCCAGCGAACTTGCAGGTAGACCAGCTGAATCTTCCAGAATCGACGATTTGTTAATTGCTCTCCAGAATCAAAAATCACAACGTGGCTGGAAAGTGGAATCGAATCGACACTCAGGACTGGGGACTTTGATTGAACCTGTAATACTGAAACAGGACAGGACCAACGGCCGGTCTTGTAGAGTGCATCGATCCAGTGGGGGTCATGATAGGTATTACAGTTCGCTACACCTTGCATTTTGTATTTATTTTAATATCTGTGAATTACCATGATTGCTTGAGTTATCCCCCCTTGTTAGAATAAGCGCTAAAAATAACGAGGCCAGTATATCTTGCTATTTAAACTGATTTTGACGTGAGGAACAAAAACCAAATTCATACTTCTCCCAGTGATACGTGTACAAAAGTAAATGTAAGAATCTCGATTTTACACGTGTCCGGGGACACGCGCTGTATGACTTTCAAGATTCTTCCTTGATGCCTGTCGGTCCCATGTTTCAAGACCTGAGATGACTAGCGAGATTTATGAAACCGGCTCCCAACGGGGTGCTTCCCCGATAACTGCAATCTTAACCTGTTCAAGTCTAGGGTTAACTGCTATCTTCCCCACATATTCCCATGATCTACGCCTCTTACCCAATAACTCTCTCTCTCTCTATATATATATATATATATATATATATATATATATGAATGAAGAAATATAGTCTTAAGATGTGCTATATTTATGGGATGAAGTGCTCAATATCAGAGATAAAGCGTGTGTAAATATAAAAGTGAACATAGAAGTCAACACTTAGAGGCGACAGTCTGTTTCATGTTAGATGCAATCGTCAGGCTACGGCGCTTTAAGAAAAAGATTTTATAAATTTCAAGCGACAACTGCTAGGACAATAAATGCAGATGTTTCCTTATAATGAAACGGCTAATATTACCATTACCGTATAGGCAAGCCTTTGTTGTGTTTTTACTTGAGTCTGCAAGGATCTGTCATGAAAGTAACTTTTTGAGCGGGAAGTCTTACTCCCCTTCAGAGGCTTCCGTCAGCTTTTATTAGGATCTGCCGAGAGTAAAGTGTTAAATAAAAAGAACATTCGAATTTTCAATAAAATTGTGTTAAATACATTTTTCTGACTTTCTATAAACATATAACAATAAAAAAAATTTATTACGTCACTTTCGTTTCTTGTCTTCCGTTAAAGTTTATTTCTCTTTTCACATTATCACCACATTCTTTTTTTTTCCTTAAAATCTTTTCTCTTTAGACATTATTAGCATATTTCTTCTTTTTTTTTCGTTAATGACCCTTTTCTCTTTTCATATTATCATCATATTCCATTTTATCGTTGACGTTCTTTTCTCTTTTCACATTATCACCATATTTCTTTTTTCGTTAAAATCTTCTCTTTAGACATTATTAGCATATTTCTTTTTTTTTTTTCGTTAATGACCCTTTTCTCTTTTCACATTATCACCATATTCCATTTTGTCGTTAAAGTTCTTTTCTCTTTTCACATTATCACCATATTCCATTTTGTCGTTAAAGTCCTTTTCTCTTTTCACGTTTCTTTCTTTTTTCGTTAATGTTCTTTTCTGTTATCACATTATCAGTATATTTCTTCTTTTGCGTTAAAGTTCATTTCTCTCTTCACATTATCGCCATATTTCTCTTTTTTTCGTTTTTTTCTGTAAAGTGAACGAATACTCGTTGTCACTTTTGTAAAGCTCGTTGTAGTAGAGACTTTGTAATCGCAGATACAACTATAGTAACGCCGTTGAACAATACTGGTGTCAGACGCCTTCGAATAGCACTCGCACTAGTAGTACTTGCGCGATAATACTCGCTCGACAAGTAACCCGTATAGAGATCTGAATAGAGAAATAGTATAGTGAATAGAGTAGAGAATAGCGGTCCGTATATTAATAGAGGGTAGAGTAGAAATACGGATAATAGAGGAGAAAAAGCGATCAATTGGACGCCACGCCACGCCACTTCCTACTTATGCGTTTCTTCTATGGTCACGTGTTCTACGTAATTCAATAATTGGATTGCCTGTGTTTGCTCACTGGCTTTCTATGTTCAAACTCAAGTGTCGGCAGCGTCACTTTATTCCTATATAACACATTATCTACATATTTCTTTTTTTTCCTTAAAATCTTTTCTCTTTAGACTTTATTAGCATATTTCTTTCTTTTTTTCGATAATGTTCCTTTTCTCGTTACACATTATCGCCATATTATTCTTTTTGTTAAAGTTCTTTTCATTTTTCACATTATCACCATATTTCTTTCTTTTTTCGTTAAAGTTCTTTTCTCTTTTTACATTATCACCATGTTTTCAGTATTTGAGGATTTGTAAAAAAAAAAAAAGAAAAGAAGGGGGAGAAATATTGATGTTCCCTCGGAAACATAAGACTTGATTCTCTCGTTCATCTTTCTTACAGGACGTCCATGACAAGCCATTATTAGCGTCAGTATCTCTCAGCATTTTGTCTTCCCTTTTCTTAACCCAGTTTCAAATTATATATAACCTCTATGCAACTTAATCATATTCCGGTTACACAAACTAGGAAACGTTATCCTAATTTACAAAAATTACATACATAAGAAATAACCGCATTTTCAGCAATTCGGTAATCTGGTCGTCCCGGAATTATATCAAGCTATTTCCGGGAAGATAAGCATTTTGTATCAATGCAGTCCTAATTAGTTGATGTTGGGGAAAGAAGAGTGCAACATAAAAGTTAGTAAATAAATCCGAACCACTGTGTTATTATTTCGGTAAATAACAAAAGCAGATATTTTCTACCCTTTGCCTGATTTCGCATTCAATGACTACCACTTGGAAATTCGTTTAAGATTTAGAACTTGCTCGGCAAACATGTTAGACACAAGGAGATATAAGAATAGACAAGTTCCATCTACCATCTACGCGGATAGTATGAGTTATTTATGGTCGAGCAGTAGGGAAAATTTTATGTACTCATCTTATTCTGCTAACGTAGAATGAATGAATAAAATCTGGTTCCGCGGATTAACATATTTTTGTGTTAATATTAGTACAAATGTTATTTATTCTTCTATGTACTGTCCCTACAAAACAAGGGAGATCATGGCTCACTACAACTTCCTATCCTTTCTAGCTCTTAGTAAGGTTTGTCTTTTCGTTATTTCCACTAACACTTGTTCTTTACCATTTACACACACCCTGACTGATAATACATAACAGTTTAGTACAAGTATATTTAAACCTATTTTAGATGACACATCTTTGCAAGGTAAGACGAGATTAGAATGATGACGAAGGGTTGAACAGCCGAAAATACAAAGGCTGGATGAAGATTTGATCAGACTGCGAAACTTGGTGCGCTCAGATAGGGAATATTATATACGATGGATGATAGAATTGTATATATCTAACAGAGGATTTTGCAATGAGAATAACTATATCAAGGATGGTGCCTTGATTATTGAGTGATGAGCAGAACGAACCTCATCTTCATCTGAAATTTGAAATAAGGCAGAGATGTTTGATAGCGTCATTACAGGTGAATAACCGTGGTCTTTTCGATACGACCCAGAAAAAAAAGCCATAGTATGTAGTGGAAAGGAGAGCAATTTGAAGGTGACAGCAACCAATAGTTAACGGATAAGCAACATTTTTTTTGGGTCATATATATATATATATATATATATATATATATATATATATATATATATATATATATATATATATATATATATATATATATACTGACTCTCCCGGAGAATACGACGTATGAGGATCAAGCAGACCAGTTCCTAGGAACCGACAGACCGACACCAGCATATGAGATTTGATTATAGTGGTGAAGGTATTGTGCAGAACCAACCACACATTTTGAAGGGCCGAATACAGGGATCTTGTGCACTACGTGCCACAAGGTCCCCAAACGACCCTCCGCAGATTTTGAATTCAGTGTTGTCCTTCTCCTAGACCAGTTGGAATCCAATCTGTCCTGCTATTTACCCATAGCTGGACGGGGAAAGAAGAGGATTCATACCTTTCTCAAGGTTATTAGCACGTAAGTGAATGTCATGAACTAGAATTCGAACTCACCTCTCCGATACCTCAATCCAAGCTGCTGTCCATTATTCCACCGTGCCTCCTGAATACACACACACACACACATATATATATATATATATATATATATATATATATATATATATATATATATATATATATATATATATATATATATATATATATATATATATAGTATAGCCAGACAAACCTGACTTGACTTTCCTGACGATCCGTTTAGGTGAAACTTAGGTAGGTTTGTCTGGCTCACTAGGTGTATCTAGGTCTGCTCTACGGTTGTATTGAGCGCTTTTGTTAGTTGTTTACTCGTATCAGGGTTTTTTTCTTTGCGCTTCAGACCTGCATCTGTGCGATTTTTGTCGACAGAAGTTCATGTTTGTAGCTCTTTCTTTTTAAAAACCTTTTTTCCTTCGAGATTGATTTGATTAGCAAATCAAAATTCGAGGGTTTTTCGAAACGAGTCTAGTTATCTATATTTATATATATATATATATATATATGTGTGTGTGTGTGTGTGTGTGTTACTCGAAACATTAGTTTTATGAGCCGGCCTTTTTTTAAACAGCGCGAATTACATTTACCGACCAGCGCGTTTGAGAACTTTACTAAAAGAATAATGTGTACTCTGGGCGGTTTCAAACCTTCCTTCCCGTTTTTAGGGGAAACCACCTTACGATCCGGCGTAAGTTTGACCGCTTTAGACAAAGATTGGGCGCAATCTCGATCCCTGACGGAAATCCCGTTCTCTTTATCAGGTATCTCGAATGCACAGGGCGCTAAACGTAATTAATACCGTTGAAAAAATGATCTACTTTAGCATGTGTATCCACGAAAAATAACGTTTAGAGTAATAAGTGTAAACATTCATGAATATATTGGAAGTTTTATGAAATAAATTTATTTTTTAAAAAACCTAAATAATGTATAAGTTGTTGTCAACTCAGTACATCTCATTCTGGAATAGGGGTTCATAGCCTCACTACGCTAAGTGTTGCTTTTCTTGTTTCATTAACAAGTATGTATTACCAAGTTTCTAGCTGTATGGCCATGGTGATATTAAAAGCCATGTGTGATGTATAGACTTCATTCGCTCAAAGACGTTTTAACTGCTGATTTAAGAGACCGGTTGAGATACAGCTAACAGTTCAGATATTTGTGAACAGGTTTGGCGCCATGCAAGACATCCATATGAAACTCTCGATTTGACAAGACTGTTCGAGAAGATGACTCGAGTTTTTAGGTTAATGTTTTGGCTTTGTTTCAATCCTGACAATGTTTATCTATAAATTGTTCTGTCTACTTAAACTCGATAGGATCCTTTGATACTCACGCATGTGTTTTTTCTATGGTTATTGAAAGTCGAGCGGAATAGACGTTTACTGTCAGCTGTTATAAAACCAGACCTAGATCAAATGATTTTAGTGCCACTCGCGTGTGTCCTAACCAGTTTAGCGTGAAACCATTGTGACAAATATTAAAAACATTTGAATCTTGGCGCTACTTTCAACTCACTCTCTAAATAAGTGCCTACTGTATTCCAAATATTAGCAAGACTGTTTCGCAGACTACTTCACTAATATAGATTTCTTGGGTGATTTCTTATATACTGTTTGTTATTTTTTAATCCTTTCGTTGGCATCAAAGTTGTTCTAAGAGCTAAAAGAAAAATAACTGACGTAAAAAATGTAACAATGTTTTTTTTTTTGTTTGTTTGTTTTTTTTGTTTTTTTTTACCTATTTAAGATATTGGCAAAGAGTCTATATAAAAGTCTACACAGGAGTAAACAAGACAGTATCGATAGATAACATCTATGTGTCTATGTCGACTTCTTTAGTATTTTCATTCTTTTTTTTTCTTTTGCCAGAACACATATCACGTGATCGGTTGATACTAATACCACTTTATATTTATCTCTTCTCAGATCAATCACAAGATCTAGATGAGTTTATTCATATATGTCTTTATTTCTTTTCTTTTTTATCGGTTTATCAATACTTTTCTCGCCGACAATATCTATCTAGCTATCTATTTGCATTTGTTCCTTTCCGCGTCAATTTTCTCCTCCATCGGTCTTTCGCCACACCCATTTGCCAATCTATTTAACTGTCTGTCAATTAGTCTACTTATGAGATTGTTTGATCGATCTGACGACCTTCTGATCTTATCGTCCATTTCGATATTAACTTTTCAATCAGTCTCGACTAACGAGATCGTACATTCATAAACATCTGCGCCGGGATATGACTTTATAAGACGAGGAGGATAAGAATACTGAGTGAACATCTATTCGTAGATAGATAGATAGATAGAGAGAGAGAGAGAGAGAGAGAGAGAGAGAGACAGACAGATAGATGGATAGATAGATTTGGCAAAGCACTCAATAGATAGATCGATAGATAGATAGATGTTATTGGACTTCTGTTATCCAGTATCAATTGCTAGATCTACTTCTAGGAAAGTTGGTTCACTTTATCGAACCAGTAGACGCACACACACACACACACACACACACATATATATATATATATATATATATATATATATATATAATTTAGAGAAAAACAGACCATTTGAAAGCTCCATTAGTTATAATTTATTTCACCAGAGAAATTTATTTTTCTCTGGATCTTCAGACTTCACTTTCAAAGGTTTGAAGAAAGTGAAGTCTGAAGCTCCAGAGATAAATAAAATTCTCCGGTGAAATAAATTATAACTAATGGAGCTTTAAAGTGGTCTTTTTTTCTTTAAATTAAATTATTCGCTCCCACTTAATATTGAGCTCTCAGGATTACATCCTCCTTGGGATTATCCATACGGATTACCAAGATTTTCGTTACTTAACTATATGTGTGTGTGTGTGTGTGCTCGCGAGAGAGAGAGAGAGAAATCTGTGACAAAGTAGAAAGATTTCGTGTGACGCGATTCATGCATTAGGATTTCATAGAAAAAAAACGCGATTTTTTGGTACAGTTGGGCTATACTTTGATCAATAAGTATACAATTACACGGCAAGCTTATCAGAAGAATCATGATGAAATCGATCATAAGCGAAAATGGCATGTTCAACATTAATCATAGCTAAGCATCGGAAGCTTATCAAGGATTAAATAAAGTTCGTACATATATATATATATATATATATATATATATATATATATATAAGTGAACATTGAAGTCAACACTCAGAGGCAACAGGCTGTTTCATGCGAGACGCAATCGTCAGGCGGCCTGATAATTGCGTCTAGCAAGAAACAGCCTGTTGCCTCTGAGTGTTAACTTCAATATTCACTTTTTATATTTATGTACGCTCTATCTCTGGTATTGAGCATTTTACCCCATAAACATAGCACACCTTAAAACTATATTTCTTCACACACACGCACACACACACGCAAACACGCACACAAACACACACACACACACACATATATATATATATATATATATATTATTATTATTTTTATTATTATTATTACTGGATAAAATACAAATTTTTCAAGATGATGTTCGCCCTCTCTAACCGTATAACTTTCTGTCCTGGAATAAAACGGTGCCTCATATATATATATATATACATATATATATATATATATATATATATATATATATATATATATAATTCCACGATCATTCTTCAACATATTCTAGATTATGTTCGCCCTATCTAACATTCTATTTTTTCCTCCAGAAGTAACAAGATGTCTCGCACGTTTCACGTACGATTTCATTTTGAAGTTTGTTTTTTTTTTCTTTTTTCGCTGCTCATTAATCTGTCATAGCTGAAACTCGTCTCTCACGTGCCAGACGCCTTATGGATTGATTTGGATCTTTTCTAATTGATCACTTTAGCTCTAAGTTGAAATGATCATCCCTCTTCTTATTGTGACCTCCTGATCCAATTTTTCTCTGTAGTGTTCCCTCTTTTTTTAATTTATTCACCGTTCTCTTGATGGTTCTTGAATGAACTTTGAAGATGGAAGCCAGAGTATGTATGTTGGTACCATTACTGAAAATCTGAATGATCTTTTTCCTCCCACGATTGCTCAGTTGGGAAGACAGTATGTTTGACAGAATGATTTTAATCTGTACTATTTTTAGCTGAATAACTGTTTTGGCCTTTTTAGGTTCAGAAATAAAGACACATACAGAGGAATTGTGTATGGATTTGTGTATTATAAACCTAATGTCTTCAGCAATCATTTTTTACCAGTTCTCATATTGTATTTTTTGCTGTTATCATCATGTTTTTACCAGAGCTCATATTGCAGTTTTTGTTGTTATTATCGCTTTTCTCTGGCACTTCTTATTACTTATATTTAGATCCAGTGTCAGGACCCAAAGAGTGTGAGTTCAATACCTGGTTAAGGTGGTGGAGAAATCTGAGAGGAGAATTAACGGGAGATAACTGATAACTGACATCCATTAAACATGGCTGAAACGTTGTAATAAATATGGCGACAAAGATTAGGACAATATTCCGAATAATGTAAATAGTGTACATAATACCTCATCTCAGAAATATAGACAGATTCTGAGTGCGTTTGCTTTTTCTGATTAACACCAAACAGATGTGCAGAATTTCTCTATTTGGGAATAATCCGAACAAATGGTTTTTAAAAGCCCCCGCAGGACTGGATAAAAGAAATTCTAATCGGATATTGATCAGAAATGTCTGATATCAATTTCGAAGTATGGCTGGCGAAATAGGAGATCAAAATCTGAATAACTGCTAGACTGCTGTCTTGATGTCTCTTCTCTTGTATTATGTCCTGGGTATGAAGCTCTAATTATTCACTTCCTGCGACTGTATATATATATAAAATAAGGCTTGCTAGCCTTTAGAAAAAGAAACAAATAAACATACATGTCACTAGATGAACAAACCTCTGAAATCTGGAATTTGCGAGCATGCCCGAAATTTTCTTTGGACCAATGAAAACCATGCCTTAACTGAAACTGACCGATGACCTGCAAAGAAGAAAGAAAAGAATTCGCAAGCATATATGAAATATTTTTGGACCAATGAAAACCTTGCCTTTACAGAGATTAGTCTGTCAGCCGAGAAGAAGAAGAAAAGAAATGTTGCGAGCCTACGCGAAATTCTTCTTGATATAATGAGGAGAAAACTGAAATCAAAGAAAGGAGAGTGCCTAAAACATATGAGAGGTAACGATTCAGTTCCTCAGGATCTGCGTTGAAGATCTCGCCGGTGGAAAATTATTCGCCAATTATATTTTTGTCCTCTAACAAGCACCTGACACTTCAAAAATGTTCTCTCAACAATCCAAGAAAGCATTTCAAATTATCTCCCTTCGTCTACATTTGAACCTATGTGAGTAATGAATTTGTTTAACACATTTTGAATATTATTTTGTGTAAGATCATTTAATCTGTCGTTTGAACATTTCCTCTTTATAACAATACGTTAAAGCTACGAACTTTAAGCAATCTAATTTTCCCGAAACGGGCTACTGACACTACTTCAAGCGTGTAAATTCAGGAATAAATTACTTATTTTGTTTTGATAAAATTACCTGTATTTCCTCATTATTCATCTTCATCACGGGTTGATTAACTGTTCATTTTAACACACGCCACTATAGACTCATAACACCCAACTTTTAAAAGGTAACCGACATATTTTGCTTTACCAGCATTTTTTGGTGACAAAAAAAAAACAATCTTTTCAAGATTTAAACTTCAATTCTCATCGTATCCTACCGTGGGCTTAAACAATTCTGCATCATTTTCGCAGCTTCTTCTTCTTCTTCTTCTTCTTCTTCTTCTTCTTCTTCTTCGTCTTCTTCTGCGTCTTCTTCTTCGTCGTCGTCGTCTTCTTCTGTGTCTTCTTATTCTTCTTCGTCTTCGTCTTCTTCGTCATCATCGTCGTCGTCTTCTTCGTCTTCGTCTTATTCTTCGTCTTCTTCGTCGTCATCTCCTTCTTCTTCTTCTTCTTCGTCTTCTTCGTCTTCATCTTCTCCCTCATCGTCGTCGTCGTCTTCTTCGTCGTTGTATCCTTCTTCTTCTTCTTCTTCTTCTTCTTTGTCTTCTTCTGCGTCTTCTTCTTCGTCGTCGTCGTCGTCTTCTTCTGCGTCTACTTATTCTTCTTCGTCTTCTTCTGCGTTTTCTTCTTCTTCTTCGTCTTCGTCTTCTTCGTCATCGTCGTCGTCGTCTTCTTCGTCGTCGTCTTATTCTTCGTCTTCTTCGTCGTCGTCTCCTTCTTCTTCTTCTTCGTCTTCTTCTTCTTCGTCTTTGTCTTCTGCGTCTTCTTCTTCGTCTTCATCTTCTTCCTCATCGTCGTCGTCGTCTTCTTCGTCGTCGTATCCTTCTTCTTCTTCTTCTTCTTCTTCTTCTTCTTCTTCTTCATTGACTTCTTTTTCTTCTTCTTCTCTGTGCCATGTCCTTTCAGGATGTTGGTGATCAATTGCGTCTTTTGTAGCTCTTAATTTTGTCAAATTGCTATCTCTCCTAATCCCTGTTCTGCTACCCACTTACGCAACCTCATTAAATAAGTTATACGCTATTTCTCCCTGTCCACCTGGTCTTCAATATGATCTATGAGTATCAAATATTCCAACTCGTTTTTCCAAATTATTCTCGAGGCTTTCAGTCACGATTTCTGGACCGGAAGAGGGGACTAAGTAACTTTAATAATATTTTTATGGTAAACAACTTTTTAACGTCTATCAGTATTGGTTAATTTTTATTGAACTTCGAAAATATCAGAAAAAAACAGAATCGGCGAACTCGGATCAAATTCTTGACAAGTCAGTTCATTCTCGCTTCGCACTATTGCCCTTAGAAGAGGGAAGAATGTACATTTTCTAATATCTGAGGCCAGATAACAGACAATGCCATATAAACCAGTTTAAACCGTCACTACTTATCAGGAAAGGAGATGAACGCCACCAAATGTTCAAGAAATTGTTTTAAAATTTCACGGCTTGCCTGTTTGAATTTTGCTTTCATTCTTTCTGTTTCTCACTGAGATCAAACAGCGTCTCTTATATGTCTTTTCTGTCTTTTCTTAGGATCAATACAAAACAGTTCATTATTTATGAGGTATTAACATGGCGTTTCTTTTTTTCCTTCTTTCATTCTTT